ATCCTGGGGTTGTGTAGATTCTAAATTGTTCAAATTGCATGACCCTCTCAGGGAAATGGTAATTTGTTTGTTCATGGCCTCTTCTGGGGAATAATAGCAAATTTTTACACAGAAATATATATGAAAAATCTTTAAAAATCTTCTTCTCAAGAAAGCCACTGGGCCAGAAAAGCTGAAATTGATTATGAAGCATCTAGGGGTTGTGTAAAGGCATTTACTAAATTGTTCAAATAATGACTAACCGGGTACATAGTTCAGTTGAAAATGACTGCCCCTTCCAAAATTGTGAATTTCATGGCCCCAGTTTTACACAGAAATATATAAAGGAAAAATCTTTAAAAATCTTCTTCTCATTTAGAAACCACTGGGCCAGTTAAGCTGAAAATGACTTATAAAAATTGTGAAGCATTCTGGGGTAGTGCTAGGATGGGGCTATATATATTATGTAGTGAAAGTGCATAAATTCTTTGAAATTCTTCTTTTCTGCTCCTGGGTATTAAATAAACTAACCAAGTGCAAAGTTAAGTTGAAAATGACTGCCTCTTCCAAAATTGTGAATTTCAAAGTTTTACACAGAATATATATAGGAAAAATCTTTAAAAATCTTCTTCTCTGTTTGTGGGCATTAGATAAACACTGGGCCATGTTGAAAAGCTGAAAATTATATTTTATGGAAGCATTCTGGGGTTATATAGGATATATAGTAAAAAATGAATTATTTCTTTGAAATTGTTCAATTATAAACTGACCCCGGGGTTGGGGGTCGGGGGGTGCACAATAAAGTCTCAAAGTTTTTCATAGAAATATATAGGAACAATCTTTAAAAATCTTCTTCTCAAAACCCACTGGGCCAGAAAAGCTGAAACTTATGTGGAAGCTTTCTGATATAGTGTAGATTTCAAATTGTTCAAATCATGACCCCTTGGGGTAGGGTGGAGTCACAATATTTATTACAAGGGGGAAATCTAGGAAAGAACAGCATAGCCAAAACTTCTCAGGTGAGTGATGTGGCCCATGGGCCTCTTGTTCATTTCAGTTTAACAAAGTACACTTTGTTTTTTAAATGCATTTTCCCTTTGTTTTTAGGATTAGTTCACAAATCTCAAATGTCAAAAGTAAGAGTTGATGATCCATCAGAGATGCTTGCCACGGGAGAAAAAGTGTATTGTAAAGTTATTTCACTTGAGGTAAGCCTGCTTTACTTGTGTGATCACAGAATTTTAGTTTTCCTACAGCAGGGCTGTCCCTAAGAATTGTAGAAAAGTAGGAAATATCTAAAATATGGAAGGATTCTGGGGTTCCTCTCGTAGCAGGGGCTTGGTAGGATATCAGATTTTAAGCAGGGAACTTAAACCCCTGATTGCGCATTTACGTTAAAAGAACTTTTATCCAATATTGAAAATACAAAAAAAATAAGCTCTTTATCTGTGTATGAAATAAATAATCATAATGATGTATCTTTTTTTACAGAACAATAAGATAGGTTTGTCAATGAAGGTAGTCAATCAGACTACAGGCAAGGATGAAGATTCAGCAAATGTACAGTCCTCGTAAGTATGGAAGAGTATAGTATAATTGAAGATAAGTGTGCCCTTAAGCCTCATCATCAATGCTTATTTAATGCAGTTTTTGCAAATACATCTGAACTGGGGTATCTTTGACACTGTTATCTTCAAAATCATATAAATGTCAAAATAATTATGAAGTATTTTTGATTTCTTAAATCCTTGGAAATCTCAAAGTATTTTCTGGTTCCATCGAGTATGAGATAAGTTTTGATTGTATTATAATGATGACATACTGTAAAAGTTTTTCTGTTATTTTAAGACATCAGAATTATAAACATGATAAATAGTAATGTAGATACCTTATAGGTATCTTTTTTTTAATTTTCGGATGTTTTCAATCTTAGAATGGATCTACAGAAGAACAGAAAGTTTCACAAAGGAGAGAGGCCAAAAATAGAGCTGGGAGCAGTCCTAGACACCACTTGTAAAAAATGTGGTGGTCATGGTAATGAATATTCACTGTAGTAGATTTAATAATTCCTGACCTTAGGTATCACTATTTAACATCAGTAATACATTTATAAATTACCAAACATTTGTACCAGTATTTTACCACTTTGTTTCTTTGAAATATTGAACTTGCTTAAAATTTGTTGACATTTTTGTTTTAACACCAATCTGTAACTGTTGCTTAAAAAATAGTGTATATCACAGTACAAAAACACAAACAGTTACACAGCAATAATTTAGATTCACTGTACTGATTGTTTAAGTTCACACTTTATTTAAACAAGCATTTGAAAAGCAATTTCTTTTCGCAATATAACTCTTCTTAATGAATTAACTTTTTCTTACGTAGGTCACTTAGCCCAGGACTGCTTTCATGTTGCCGGTGGGAAGTCATATGACCTACTACCAGATGAAGATGATGCTCTCTCCTCCCAAAAAGAAACCAAACACAAATCTTCAAAATCCAAGAAAAAGGTGTGTGGCAATTTTTCATAGGATACTTTCATATTAAAATCAAAACTCAATATCTGGAAAACAGTTCCCTTTCCCATACCGTAAATCTGGAAATTTTTACGTCGATTTTATTTTGCGAATTTGGGTCAAAATGCTGTTGATTAATTTTTACGTTTCAAAATTTTGCGAATGACCAATGCTTTGTTTACATTTTCTTATTGGTAATTTATTTTTAAGAAAAATATTTTTGCGAATGCAATGAACTTGCAAATTTGCTAAAAATTTATCTACAGCAAAAATTTCCAGATTTACGGTATCACAGAAACACGATATATCATTAGAATGCTAAAACGTCATATTATGATGATATGTCCTTGAAATTTTTACTTTTCAAGTATGCCCAGATTCCTGCCAAATCCATATGAAATTATATCCTTTCTTTAAAAATGAGCAGTGAAATACCGTAGACATTGTTTCTTAAAACAGAAAAACAAGAAAGAGAAGAAATCTAAGAAAGCCAAAAAGCGGCACCATGCAAATTCAAGTTCTGAATCTGAAGAGGAAAGGCCTCGTCACAAGGTAAAACATTCCTAATAGCTGAACCATAGAAAAAAAATATATTCATGTAAATCTTCGTGTTAAATTTAATTAAAATCAGATGATTTATTTCATCATTGAAAAACCTGTACTACACTAAGATTCACATTCATGTACATGTATACTGGTATATCAAGTGCAGGATTAGTTGATTTTTGTAACTCTACTTTTTTACATTGTAGAAACACAAAAAGCACAAACATAGAAGAAAATCATCTAGCAGTGATAGTGATAGCTGATTTTGTAATATTTTTCCAATAAATTTATTAAAATTGCCTGGTACTGTCATCTTATAAATTTACTTATTTAGTACACAACATCATATGTGATGAATATATAGAGAGTAGGAGTGTCAACTCAAGTAAAAGGGTATGTGATCCCTTTAAAGCATGTAAATATGAAAGTAGTAATGATACCTCTGCAAAGAAAATTTGGTGGGTATATAAGAATCTCTGTGTCCATCTATCTGTCTATGCTATCTTGTCCAGCTGTAACCTTGTTATGGAGATATATAGGAGGCTCTTTAAAAATACTTACCGATATACAAAGCCATAATTCATCATGCATTTTATGAAATTCATTGTTAGAAAGATTGTTCTATTATACCAGCCTTTTTATATCTCGCCTATAAGTGGGACATAAGTTTTACATAGAAATATATAGGACTTCTTCAAAAATCATCTTATAGGCAAATATGATTGGTCATGGGACTAACATTGTTAATGTCCTATTAGGGTTTCTACTTTTCCTAGCCAAAAGTCATTCTGGCAAGATCAAGGTCATTGGCAAAAAAGCATAAAATTCTTGTCTAGGCTATAACTTTGTAGTGAGAAATATATATTAAAATTATAACTGTCATCTTATAAATTTACTTATTTAGTACACAACATCATATGTGATGAATATATAGAGAGTAGGAGTGTCAACTCAAGTAAAAGGGAATGTGGTCCCTTTAAAGCATGTAAATATGAAAGTAGTAATTATAACCCTGCAAACAAAATTTTGAGGGGTATATAAGAATCACTTTGTCCACAACTAGCAAAATATAACTTTGTTATGGAGATCACTTGTATAATATTTGTAATTAAACAAACATTGCATTATAACAACCCAAGGTCATTCTGGCAAGGTCAAGGTCACTGGCAAAAAGGTAAATTCTTGTCTAGGCTATAACTTTGTAGTGAGAATCATTCAAAGCTTACACTTGGAACAGATATTATTTGTGACCTGAGGGTGTGTCATGACCTCAACCCAAGGTCGTTCCAGCTAGTTCATGATCATTGAGATATAAATTATCTTGTACAAAGTAAAAAAATCATTATAGGCTAATACTTTTCTAGTGGAAAAACATTTCATGTTTATATTTCACTGAAAGATTCATACCTGTAGGATGTGAAAAGGAAGTTCAAGGTGTGTCATAAAGCTGAACATGTACTTGAAAATATTATGGCACAGGGTATTTGTGAGCTTGCTCATAGTACCTGTAGTTTGGTTTCCTGTTGTCTAATTTGTTTTAGGTATGATAGTTTACCATATAATTAATTAATTATCAAACAAAGAAGCTCCAAGGTTGACAGTCTCTTTTCTAATCTTTGTCTACCTTACCTAGTACATGTATACAGTTGATGTCACTGTCACACTTGAACATGAAACTGAAAGTGGCAATCATCTTCGACCTGTTCCTCTCTAAGACATAACTATGAAAATAAATCTGATTCTAATGCTTTCAGTGAAATAAAAATATATTTTCTAAACTTTATAAATCAATAAAGATACAATCATGTACTTTTAGGAAGTATACACAAATTTTTTTATTAAATTATATATCAATGACTATGTACCATATAAACCCCCTCTGCTTCACAATGTACTGATGTATTTTAACACCACTAATAATGTACACAAAAAATGAAAACAGAAATGCCATAAATATATACTTGTGTAAATTTATTTTTTAATGACATTTTTTCTCTGAAAAATGACTGAGGATGTACAAATCAGACAAAAATAAAAGAAAATGAGACAATGACAATAAATGTTTTTAGCTTTCATGTTTTGGCTAAAGTTCCAATGTTTATTCAATCTCATATTTTCTCGCATTGCCACAAGGGAGACAACTCTTGATATTGGCAAGTGATCCCCCGGCTGTGATGTAGGCAATGATTCCCATGACGACGGTGAGGAAGTAGGCCGGGAGGATACTGGCCAGATAGAGGGGGCTCTCACGGGAGGACGTCCTCTGGTTCAGAAGGGTCTACAATAGAAACAGCTAAATTAATTATTATTGACTGTCTACTGGTTTATAAAGTAACTTGAACTACAATACCGTATAAGTGGAAATTTTAGCGAGACACAAATTCAGCGATTTCACCAAAAAGATTTTATTTTTAGCAAGAAGTAATTTTAGCAATTTTAAAAGGCTCTTTTAAGAAGCTATTACAAATATCAGGCAATAAATTTTTAGCGATATTCAATTTTTGCGATCTCGGCACCCTTGCTAATAATGCCAAAATTAAATCCTCCCTAAAAATTTCCACTTAAAAAAAGTGCGTCCAATACAAGGGATTTTACGGTATATGGTATGTATACATGTATGTATGCATACTGAAAACCATAAATTATATATTTGCATTTCTACTGCTCTCTCCCACTATGAACAAGTAGCCTTCACCTGCATTCATAGGACTATTGACGCAATTGCTTCTGCTATGAATGCAATTACTCTTTCACACTCGTGTAGTGCAAGCTTTACTACACACAAATGGAAAGTGTTGACAAGTATATATATGAAATGTTTCTTAAAAGGAATAAATGTGTTTTTAATAATAATTTTTGGGGAAAAAAAATTCAGAACAATTTTAAATTGCTGATTTATATCTTTAAAAATTTAATTTTGGTCAATGTATTTAATTGTATAATAATTTTTTTTTAAAATTGAAGAGAATTGCCATATTTTTATTTTTTCTTATCACATTTTTGCATATTTGTACAAAGAACGACAACTCTTCACACTAGGGTGATAAAACATTCAGAAAAAGCAAAATTTCTTTTAATTTAATTGTATGTCTATTTCAAGAACGGGTTCAGCTCTTAAAAATAAATAGAAAAAATTTTAAAATCATATAGAAAAGCATTCTGGAGTTAGAATGATTATTAAAGCATTCTTTTTTTTCATCAAACGGTTATATTATTGATTTTTGTCAGAGGGTTTCAATAACGTTGATCGATGACGTCACATCTGCATCAAAACAAAAATTAAGAGAATGTGACGACGGCACAGCTTGTATCCAGATAACTGTGTTTTAAAAGAGGCTAGTACTTTATTAATTGTTTGTGATTTATTAGAAAAAGGTGCAATGATCAGGTATACTAATTTTAAAGCTGTGTGTTTTTCATTACTGATGACAATAAGCCACATCCGTTTGTAAGCCAGGATTTCCTCTGATATTCTTGACAACATCAAAGAATGCAAATATAAGTAATAAACAATGATTATTTAGTGAACATGGCATTATGAATAGCAATAGCTCTGCTGGCATATTTTCCATGATGCCCCAGCATGCATCATGGAATATGCCAGCAGAGCAATTGCTATATATTCATAACGCCATGTTCACTAAATAACGTTGTTTATTTCTTAAATATTTCTATTGACATATATGCAAATTAAATTACACATATTATTTTTAACATCTGACAACTTTTCTAAGGAACAAGGGATTTCAAATATTTCAAAATTTCATACTGGACAAATAAGCAAAATTTCAGAGTGGATTACATTATAAATCATTGATCAGTTAAAATCCAGTATTTTAGCACATGACGTATATAAACCTCCACTCACCAGACATGAGATAAGCATGTGACTCACCTGACATGAGATAAGCATGTGACTCACCTGACATGAGATAAGCATATGACTCACCAGACATGAGATAAGCATGTGACTCACCAGACATGAGATAAGCATGTGACTCACCTGACATGAGATAAGCATGTGACTCACCAGACACGAGATAAGTATGTGACTCACCAAACATGAGATAAGCATGATGTGACTCACCAGACACGAGATAAGCATGTGACTCACCAGACATGAGATAAGCATGATGTGACTCACCAGACACGAGATAAGCATGTGACTCACCAGACATGAGATAAGCATGATGTGACTCACCAGACACGAGATAAGCATGTGACTCACCAGATATGAGATAAGCATATGACTCACCAGACATGAGATAAGCATGTGACTCACCAGACATGAGATAAGCATGTGACTCACCAGACATGAGATAAGCATATGACTCACCAGACATGAGATAAGCATGTGACTCACCAGACATGAGATAAGCATGTGACTCACCACCGTCGCAAACAACCGCCAAAATGTACGATCCTCTCCCATTCTGGCCGTGGTTGAACGAGGAGAGAATTCTTCGTAGCTCATTAAAATTTTGACCAATGCGAGTAAAGCATAGTCGGAAGATGAACTTTATCACAACCTTTCAATATCCAATCGCAGTAAAGGAAATATTTCTTATATACTGTTGACGTCAGTTGTTGATTTCAATTGCGATGGAAACAAAACTTGTGATAGACTGAATATGACCTCACAATAGAAAGGCGTAAATATTCAAGATTACGACACTTTTTGTGATCAAGCAGCCACGGGTAGGAGAGAGCTATATGCGGACTCTGGACCGTGGCTTGAGACGATGGTGACTCACCAGACACAAGATAAGCATGTGACTCATCAGACATGAGATAAGCATGTGACTCACCAGACACAAGATAAGCATGTGACTCACCAGACATGAGATAAGCATGTGAGATCCCACCACCAGCGCCACCATGTGGTATCGCCTCTTGTCAAGTCCATTAAAGAAGATGACCCCCCAGAATGTGTGGAGAAGTATAAAACTTAGTGTGAGAAAAGCTGCAACGAGAAATACAATTATACAGATTGATATGATGGTTTGTATATCTTTCACATACTGGTAACCCTAATTCTATATTGAAAATGGCCTTTTGAAAGTTTACTTATCTGCTTTTTTCATAGTCTTAGTAACTCCATAATAAAACATTGAATTAAACAAAAAAAGCTACAAGTCTGATTTCAATACAAAGCTATATTTTTTTAATCTTTGAACATTGACTTTTTTCTGTTTCTTAGTCAAATAAGGAAAGTACAACAGATAAAGCCAATTTTTAACTGGAAAGAGAAGAAAAGGAGAGGGAATATCTTTGATAGTTTAGTTTAATAAAACTGATCAGGGGTAAACATTGAAATTTACCTGTAGCTACGAAGAAATATTTTGAATCTCCATGGATACCAATGGTCCCTGGACCAACCATATCAGCTAACACATTGACAGTTGAGAAAGCACCAGAGAGGATACCAAACCCCAGACCTGACACTGAAAAAAAAATCATTTAACTATTAAAGAGGAATCACAAGCACATATATATCTCCACTAAAACCAAAGTACAAAAACAAAAATATGACTTTTTGATCAACTTTGACTTCATTATTAGTACCAAGTATATCTTTGTTGTAAGCATCTTTGCTAGAAAATAAAGTATGTTAAGCCAATACATCTTGCCGCAGGATACTACTGAAACCCTCATAAATATGAACAACATATACTAGCTTCATAACAATTGAATTACCATATGCCATTATATGTTTATTTGAGATATCCCTGGGAGTCATATGCATTTCTTGGCCAGTTTGGCTGACTTTCTGTAAGCCATCATCAGCTTTCCTGGAATAGATTTACATATTGATTGATACAAATACAATTTTACACATGCAATCATATTTAATTTATTAAAAAAATTTTTCCTTAAATAAAGATACCAAATGTGATGTTTTTACCTCAGAAGTTTGTAGAAGAGAAGTCTGAAAGCTTCTTGAAAGAGAACTGAGAAAACTAGACCAAACACTAGTTGTTCTCTCAGAGGAACCACTGCATACCACAATATAGAGGACACTAGTAGTGATAACAGCCAGAAAAATCCACTGAAAATAGAAATTATTTTATAGAAATAAATTAAGACTTAAAAAAAAAAGCCTCTGACATTTTGTCAGTATGATTCGTAAATTTAATACAAAGTAAATGTCCACTGGTATACATGGACTTATCCATGTTATCTATGATCTATGTTATGTCTCAAATACAATGTCCTAAAGGAAGGAATGGTTCATTATGGTTTTAACATGCTTGTCTATCAGTCTTTCAGAATAATCTATGTCTACACTCTGAATCTAAAATATATGACTGGAATGGATTTAAACTGATTAAATATGACCTTAAGGGTTGTTCACTCAAGTCACACATTAAAGGTAATAGTCATAAGAAACAGAGATGTTGAAGTCATGAATGTTATACATGTACCTTCTGAAGTCATGCATGTAGACTATAACTCTGTAAGTAAAATATATTCCACCTGATCTTTTATTACGTATTCGAATTATGAAATTTTTCTTCCAGTGACCTTGAAGTTCCCCAGATGACCTTCAGTCAAGGTCATGACACACCTTTGGGTCATGGTCATTTTGTGTGAAATGAGAACCTACCAAGTTTATCCTTAAAAAACATATGGACAGGACACGAATTATGAAATTTTTCTTCCATGACCTTGAAGTTCCCCAAATGACCTTGGGTCAAGGTCATGACACACCCCTAGGTCATGGGCAATCTTTAGTAGTTTCTAATGTCCCTCCGTAAGAAAGATATAGACCGGACATGTTTGCACAGACAGATGGGCAGACGGACAGCTAGACAGACGGAAGGACAGACGGACAAGGTGATTCCTATATAACCCCCCAAACTTCGTTTGCGGGAGGTATAAAAAAAATATAAAATATAATCAACTTGCATTTCAACTTGGTATTCATAAGAAAACCTGCTAGAATTAGTTTCTAAGACATATTTTGTGCATCATCTATATTTTCCTGCTGATATTTTTAGGAAACTGGTGAAAATGTCAGGTTAACAGCAGAGGCAAAATATTTTCCGGAGTTTCACAAAAAACTTCTTTTAAATACTCACATACCTGATATTGCAATGATAGAATTATTGATCATAAATAAATACAATAAGGAAAAAAATTACCTAGCAATGAGCACAATTATTCGAAGTGGATCTCTGGCAATTGTGAACACAAACAAAGCAAAGGGGGGTCCAAATGCTATAAAGGTGCAACCAAAGAATTCCATCACAGTCATGGTGAGTTTTTATTCATGTGAAGCACCAATTCTACAAAACAAAATACTTTTATATATTAATAAAAACTATTAGAATTTAATCACAAGTAAGGAATGCAGTGTTTGATTTACAATGAAACAACAGTATGTCTGATTTTGAATTAGCTTTACCCTTACCAGTAGATGCCCCAGTGTAATCTCAGTAATATTTGTTGAGAATAATAATTTTGGACTGGTGTCTTTTCCAAATCTCAGCCCACTGCCACACAAAATGATTTGAGAAATCTTACCCGAACTTTGACCGCTTGTTAAGAAAAGTCGAAGAAGGCAGGGAATTTCAACCTATTTTGTCTGAAACAAGTGGGCAAAGTGAGGATAAGATTTTCAAATTTATTAGTCTTTATGATCTCACTGAGATTAACCCCAAGGATATCCCTAAGGTAAATGCAGCTCATGGTAATTCTCAAAAACACCCTATGGCTATGATATGCAAATAATACCTCAAGGAACCCAAAGAATATATAACGTTTGGTAGACTTCGTTGACATTAATTTTTTGTCAATAAGACAATTTTTTTCAATTTATAAACATTTTTTTTTAGGTACCACCCAATTAAAAGAGTTTTTCTTGTCCAAAACAAAGTTTGAAGACTAAGGTTATTTTAACCAATGAATTTGATTGTGGGGTCAAAAAGGCTAAAAACCTTATTGTATTTTCAATTTATTGATCACTCATGCAATCTTATAGCGAGCGCAGCGAGCATCACAAAGTGATGCACGTCACTGCGAGCTCTAACGACAACGCCTGGGCGAAGAGAAAATTCGGACTATTGCACATTTATTCGATAGAATTTTTTCCGCAGTAATTTGGACCAACATTGCATCACTTTGTACACAAGCCAATGTTCTTTGCGAATAAATAAAAAAGTTAAAATAAATAATATGTAATAAAGCATGAAAGGCTGTCAGTTTTTATATATTTCAATTAAAGCAACAAATAACTCATGTGACAATGTTTTTCGACCACCGAATTGCACTAGCCCGTCTAAATGAAAACTGAATGATCGAGTATCTGCGCTTGCCCTAATGGTTGCACTGTCAACATATTATTTTCAGCTTCAACAGCATTAAAAATTTTCGATGGTTTGTTTACATGGAAGAATAGCTATTAGTTAGTACAAAAGAAATAACACTAAGCATGCGCAATATGCGCTTCGTTGACATTAATTTTTTGTCAATTTTTTTCAATTTATAAACAATTTTTTTTTTTCATACCACTAGGTTAAAAACTTTTTCTAAAAACAAAGTTTGAAACTAAACTTTAACCAATGAATTTGATTGTGGGGTCAAAAAGGCTAAAAACCTTTTTAATTTATTGATCACTCACGCAATCTTATATATACTGAAATCGACTTTGGCGACACTACCTTTTAGCACATTTTTTTCTGGGGACCAGTAAAGTTGTTCCCATAAGTTGGCTAACAAGCTATTTTTGGATCACTGGATAAAGAGAAAATAGATAAGTTCAAAGTTGAAGATCAAGGAGTCTGTTTTCAATCTTTGCACGAC